GCCAGCTCCTTACAGGTTTATGTTGCAGGATTTGAAGCATACTTGAAGAAAGTAGTTATTACAAATAGTCTTGATGCCAGATTAAAAGTGAAGTTAAATATTTGAAAAACCCAGTGCAATGTACTAATACATAGTGGGTATGTCCAAACAAAAGAGCAAAAATATTTTCATGGCATGTATTAATATCTGAATATCTCTATCATGTGATGAAGCCCTCTGTAGATTCAAAGAAATTTATAGTTTAAAATAAGCCCTTCTTGGGGCACCTGGGTTGCTCAAGTCAGTTAAGCATCTGCCTTTGGCTCAGGTCATGATCTCAGGGTCCTGGGATTGAGTTCCACATCTGGTTCCCTGCTCAGTGGGGTTCTGCTTCTTCCTCTTCCTCTACCCCTCCCCCCTTGCTCATTCCCTCCCTCTCTCTCTCTCTCTGAAATAAATAAAATCTTAAAAAAAAAAAAAAACTCCTTGAAATCATAATATAAAACCTACTTTAGAAGGTCATTATAAGTGGAAAGGAAGACTCAGAACTTACCAGACTGGGAGATTATTGTTGTTTTATTGTTAAACACAGGTAAAGGGAGATTTATCTGGCTGGAACTACTCTACTGGAAGTATTCAATTTATTCATACATTTAAATCAAGAATTTCCATATTTTTCTTGAATGTGAAAGATACTTTTGCTAATAGCTTAAATCTATCAGCCTTTCAAATAGAAAGCAGTTCTTTTTTTATTATCTCAGTTAAAAGTAGAAATAAAAATAAGAAAATATCTTCCCCTGAGGGTGTTTATTAAAACATCAGTGATAAAATTGCAGTAACCTCTAAGAGATGATATTAAGATGAGAGAAATTATAGTGGTTTTTTTAATGATAAGAATGATCCAGTAGAAAAACTAAAGATGCAGGGGAGAGTGCCAAAGAAATATCCTTAAGTGAGCTAGAGAGGATAAAATATAGTATATAAGAGAAGGTTTGTATCTTAAGAACAGTGATTGCTTATCCATTATACAGAGAAGGAAGAGTTATATCAGCATATATATATATATATATATATATATATATATATATATATATGTAAGTAGATGTAGTAGAAATTGACAAAAATTCTCTTTTAATAGCTTCTGTTTCCTGGGTGAAAATGAGGAGGAAAGGAGAGAGATTATGGAAATTTGAAGGGAGAGAAGAGACCTCTGTCATGGTTTTCTAGAAGAATGAAAAAATGAATAGACCAAGGCTGCCAGACAGCTTCTGAACCAATTTTTGGTATAAAATATTTATAAAGTAAAATTATTTCTGGTCACAGGTGACATCATCTTATACGTAGAAAACCCTTGGTCCCCCCCCAAAAAAAGTTACAACTAATAAAGCAAATTCAGTGAGGTTGCAGGATACAAAATCAACACTAAAAAATCAGTGGCATTTCTTTGCATTAAAAGTGAACAATCCAAAAACTAAATTAAAACAATTACATTTATAATAACATCAAAAAGAATAAAATGCTTAGGAATAAAATTAATCAAGATGGTGAAAGGCTCCTACACTGCAAACTACAAAACATTACTAAAAAAAAATTTAAGACACACAAAAAAATAAATAAAAAATTTTTTAAAAATTTAAGACACAAACAGAAAAATATCCTGTATTCATGTTTTGGGAGTCTTGGTATTGTTAAGATGACAGTATTATCCAAATGATCTACAGATTCAATGCAATCCCTGTCAAAATCCCAATGACATTTTTGTAGAAATAGAAAAACTGCTCTAAAATGTATACAGAATCTCTCAAGAGACAACAAATGGCCAAAACAATGTTGAAAAAACAGAATTGGAGATCTCACACTTCTGATTTCAAAAGTTCATGCAAGATCCTGGTAATCAAACAGTATGGTACTAGCATAAAGACAGACATATAGACCAATGGAATAGACTAGAGGGCCTTAGAAATAAACCCTCACATATATGATGAAATGATTTTTAATATGTGTGCCAAGACCATTCAGCTGGTTCAGTTGGTAGAACGTGTGACTCTTGATCTCAGGGGTACGAGTTTAAGTTCCACACTTGGCACAGCTTACTTTAAAAAATAAATTCAATGGGAAAAGGACTGGCTATCAACATATAAAGTAATACCTTATACCATACACAAAAATTAAAATGGATCAAAGACTTAAATGTAAGAACTAAAACTAAAACTCTTAAAAGAAAACTATAGGGAAAACCTGATGACATTGGACTTCGTAGCAATTTATAGTACATCACAGGCAGCAACAACAAAAAGGTAAATTGGACTCCATCAAAACTTAAAACTTTTGTGCATCAAAGACACTATCAACAGTGAAAAAGCAGCCTAGAGAATGGAAGAAAATGCTTGAAGATCATATATCTGATAGGTAACTTATATCCAGAATACATAAAGAACTTTTATAATTCAACAACAACAACAAAACCAAACAACCCAGTTAAAAAATGAGCAAAGGACTTGAATAGACATTTCACTAAGGAAGATATACAGATGACCAATAAACAGAAGATGCTCAAAAGACTACTCATTACGGAAGTAAAAAATCCACACAAAGATACTACTTCATATCCATAAGGGTGGCTATTATTTTTAAAAGAAAAAAAATAAATGTTAGCAAGGATGTGGAGAAATTGGAACTCTTTTGCATTTCTGATGGCGGTGTAAAGTGATAGAGCCTACTATGGAAGACAGTGTGGCAATTTTTCAAAAAATGAAAAATAGAATTAAGTGCCATGTAATCCTGGGGTTTAGACCCAAAAGAATTGAAAGCAGGATTCAAAATAGATATTTGTGTACCATGTTTATAACAGCAAGTTAATCATAATAGCCAAAAGAGCAAAGCAACTTAAATGTCCATAGACAGATAAATGGACAAACAAAATGTATATATACACAACTGAATGCTACTCAGGTATAAAAAGGAAAGTCTGATATATGCAACAGCACTGATGAACCTTGAAAAGGTTATCTTAAGTAAAATAAGCCAGACTCAAAAAAATACTTTATGATTCCATTTATATAAAGTACCTAAAGTAGGCAAGTTCATCAAAACAGAAAGTAGAATTGTGGTGTCCAGGGGCTGAGGGGATGAAGGCATGGACAGTGTTCAATGGGTACAGTTTCAGTTGGTGTAGATGAAAAGGTTCTGGAGATGGAATGTGGTGATAGTTACACAACAGCGTAACTGGACTTCATGCCACACAATTGTATAAAATGGTAAAATTTATGTGTATTATAGCCACAATTTAAAAAAAAAAAACTATATTCTTACTGTGAAGTTTAAAAAAATTTATGAAAGTAATTAAAAAAGTACAGAGCAGAAAACACAAAAATTTATGAAAGTGACTTTCATTTTGCAATATTCACATTTATTTCTTTCAAGATTGTCACCTTTGACTTTGTTTAAAATATATAGACTTAGCAAAAAAAAGAAAGAAGATTGAAGAAGTGACCAATGGATTTCTTCTTGATTTTGAAATTATCGTGCATTAGTTATTATTATCATGTGTATGTATACATGAGTTAATGTATACATATACTATGGGGAGCAAGAACAATATATAGTCTTGAATAGTTGTTTAATGATTTTGTATCTTATAATTTAAATGATTTTAAATTCTTTCTGAGAAGGGACTGTGCCTCTATACTAGTGTACTAACTAGTGTAACGACTGGGACAGTGCCTAGCACATAGTAGGTGTTCAGTAAGATATTTATTAAATGAAAAAATGTACATATTTAAATTTTGTATATTTGAAAAAGCATGTTTGTATTTTTTGTTTGGAAAGTGGGTTTATGGGAGAGAAAGCCTGAAGAACTGTTCCTTAATTGATAAATGCAAGTATATATTGTGTATTTCTCAAAGTCATTCCAAACAGATTTATTTTGATTACATACTAAAAAATTGTGCAGAAATTTGAGACAGGGGTGGTGGTTCAGTTGGTTAAGCAACTGCCTTCAGCTCAGATCATGATCCTAGAGTCCCAGGATTGAGTCCTGCATCAGGCTCTCTGCTCATTGCAGGGTCTACTTCTCTCTCATCCTCCCCCCTACCCATGCGTGTGCGTTCTCTCTCTCTCTCTCTCTCTCTCTCTCTCTCTCACACTCAAATAAAATCTTTTAAAAAAAGGAAATTTGAGACAGTAATAGAGCAGAGCAGTATATGAAATAGAGGTTGCTCGGGAGATTAGCTATGTGTATTTTTTAATGGGAAGATGCTCACAAAAAATGTAGAGTATAGGACAGTTGTGCTTTTGTAAACAATTAGATATGAGAAGATGTACATTTCACTGTACATCTCCTTATTCCATTCCTCTATACCATAGCTTTAGCATGGCCATTTTAATGGTGAGAAAACTGGAACAAAGGTTGTCAAGGCTTGAACTAGAATGATGGTAGTTTTATAGTCTCTTTTAGAGAAGTAATTGCATTTCCTACATCTGAGTAAGTGGAAACTGTTTAGGAGTATACTTCCTTGCCTAGTGAAGAGAGGAGGCAGGTAGGATATAGGAAGATTTAGAGCCACAAGATTCCAGTTTATTTCTCATCTCTGAATACAAAGTTAACTCATCTTTCCAAGGCTTCATAATCTGCAATTACCTTTGCGGGAGGAGATTGGTATCGGGGAGAGGGAGAGATAGAATCTTAAGATCTTAAGCAGGCTTTTTCCTTTGAAAATGTATTTGGGGGCACCTGGGTGGCTCAGTTGGTTAAGCATCTGACTCTTGATTTTGGCTCAGGTCATGATCTCATAGTCATGAGATGGAACCCTGTGGGCTCCATGCTCAGCATGGATCCCAATTAAGATTCTCTTGTCTGCCTGTGCCTCTCACCCACCACCACCCCTACTCACAGTCATGCATGCACTCTGGCTCAAAATGGATTAGATAGATCTAAATAAAAGTATATTTGCATTTGCCCACTTAAGTTTATTGAAACTGAGCGTTTGTATGTCATTTCTTATTTTTCCCTTGACATGAAGTCTTAACCTACTTGATGAAGAGGTCTTTTGAAAGGTGTACTGCAAGGGATGCAATGCTGTCTGTAAATTAACACTTTTACGAAGGTAAAGACCAAATTTTATTAATTCACTTTGTGTTTATAAAAGGAAAAAATAACTTCTATATATTATAACATTCAAAAATTTAATCAAATATTTAATAGTATTGGCTTATTAAGTTGACAAAGGATGAAAATGCTTTTCATATTCATCTATTACACATCTTTGTGTTCCTAACCTATAGCAATATGCTTGGCACATAGTAGGCTTTTCTTAAACATTTGATGTAGAAATAAATTTTATTACGCTATTCTGAAGCTTTTCATCAGTTTTAATCTTTAAACATAGGTTTCTTAATGTATTCTCTTCTAAAAGAAAAAAATTTTTTGTATCTTTAGGTGCTATTGTGTATTTAAAAAAACAAAAACCTTGGAGTAAAGTAGCAGCACATAATGGTTTGTGGATTTTGAAAAGGTGCAGGCCATATTGTGCTGCCTCAAAAATACAAGGATCTGATCTTCTGAAGAAAATATATTTCTTTTTATTCATGGCTCTTATGATAGTGATGTCAGCAGTGCCTTAGCAGCACGTAAATATTGGCGTTAAGATTCTAAAATTATCTCCAGTATTAACTGTGCTGCTGAAGTAAGGTTGGCCATACTCTACAATCTAATGTTTTACAGTTTAATATGTTTTAATATGTATTGATATTGCTGATATATCTTCAGTTTTGATAATGTATTTTCACTATTATTGATAATCTTGTTATATTTAGAATGATTCTATAAAAATAAGTGCTAACTTTTCCGATGTATTGTATGTGTATTAAAGTAATATATAATTGTGGGGCACCTGGCTGGCTCAGTCAGAGGAACATGCAACTCTTGATCTCAGAGTCATTAGTTCGAGCCCCATGTTGGGTGTAGAAATTACATATAAAGATTTAAAAAAATAAAATAAAATCTTTTTAAAAATAGACTAAAATAAAATAATATAATTGAAATTTAATAATTGCGTTGAATGCCATCAAGAGTTTATTGAAAGAGCTTATACAGAATCAAATTTACTTTAATGCTATTTGTATTCAATGTAAATACTGAAGTTTTTACTTAAATATTAGTTTTCCCTTTGTTTCTCTAGTAAAATGAAATTTAAGATATTTGCTTATCTCACAGATAAGTGTACATTATAAAATATACATTAACAGAACTTAGAAGACAGTTTTTAGTAATGTTTCTAAATATTTCCTTATAAAGAAAGGGGGAACTATCAAAACATGTAAATTCCTGAAATCCCGGGTCTTAAAATGCTCCTAATCATAACTTCAAAGTTAGGAAAGACCTTACAGATGACCAGCCTATTTGTTGGGTAGCTCAGGAAACAGAAACTCAAATTAAGTAATTTACCCCATATGACAGATTATGATCTTAATCCTATGCATTCTAACTGTATACTATGATATTTTTTCCTCCTTTTTATTAAATGTTTTTCTGAATTCTTAGGCTGAAGATTTTTGACAAGTCGGAAATATGAAGTCCTTATTTGTTTTTTTATATCCAATATTTAACTTCAGAGTAAAAGTAAAAATTATTATATAGCTATTTTATAGATGGAAACACAGTCAAAATTTTTAACTTAAGATTTGAAGGAAAATGTTTTCTTCTTTTTTTTTGTTTCTTAAGATTTTATTTATTTGAGAGAGAGAGTACAAGCAGGGAGGAGGATTAGAGGGAAAGGGAGAAGCAGACTCCACACTGAAGGAGCGTATGCGGGGCTGTGTCCCAGGACCCTGAGATCATGACCTGAGCCAGAGGCAGCCAGCCGCTTAATCAACTGAGCCACCCAAGCGCCCCAGGAAAATATTTTCTTTACCTTCTTTTTCTTACTTTGTTACTTTATTAAGTTTTATTAAGTCATTAAACTAAAAATTAATGTTCAGGATAAGACAGGCATGTTTGTGTAATATACACACTTCTGGTCTTCTTTTCTACAAGGAGTATCCTAACCTTTTCAACTGTAACCAAGCAGAAAATCTATAAAATGAAAGCAGTTCTTAATGAATCATTTCCAATTATTGTCTCTTTTAGAAACTCTAAAAGTATTTCAGATGTAATTTAAGGAATTATATTTGAGTATCTTTTGTTTAAATTCTAATTTGAAGGTAAAGAAAGTATATAAGATAAAGCATTCATTTGTAAGAACAGCTTTTCTCCTGCAAAATTTTTACCCCAAATAAGGAAGCAGCATACCATATATGTGGTAGCTAGAATTAAATGCCAGCATTTACATGGAAATAAGTATTGCCTTGGTGCTTTGAAAAATCATCATCAAGCTTTTAACCTGTTTTCCTTTATTTCATTTCAACTATTTTAAGTTTGTCTAATATTTTCCAGAACTCAGGAATTAGATTTCCTTTTTCTGTTCTTATATTCCTAAGTATATTTTGACTTAATTTTAGAAAATTATATTTAGTTTTATCTGCTTTCTAAATGACAGAAAGAAAACCTGGATTTTACATTTACTAGGTGAATCTTTATATCTAGATCCTCCAGATGTGAAGAAGGAACATTTGGGGCTATTATAACTAAATGAAAACTTTCTTGTTTTAATCCTGAGAATGAATTAAAGAAAAATTGAAATACTGGCAAAGTGAGAAACTATAGAAAAACTGTTAAATTGAAATTTATCATAACAGCATACAGCTTCTTTCCAGTCTCTTACTAAAGAAGAGGAAATGGCCTGTCAGTACCTAATGAAGCACACATTTTAGGTAATTCAGCAAAACTGGGAAGTTTTATTTGTATGAGTTAACACTTCCATCCTTGTATAATTTTGAGCACATAAAGTGCAAATAGTAAAATAAAAGTTATACCCTTTAATGACCTTAATTTGGTTATTTTACAAAGAAAAATAACTATGGGTGTGTATTAAATTCATTTTTTCCATCTTCTTTGGAAAAAAAATCCTCATTTTTTTCATTTAGTTTCTTTTAAGTTGATGACATATAACTTCAAAATTGAACATCTAAAATCTCTTACATGGAATATGGGTTGAGTTTGGAACTAACTCAGAGGATTCAGGCAAGTCTCCAGGAGGTAGCAAGAACAATATTTGATTAGTTGAATAAGTCAGTTTACATTCCACATTTAAATGTAGATCTCTTAAGATCACACATATGGATATGTGATGGTAGGTGTGAAAATTTGGCCTTAAACTAAATTCTATACTCAACTGCAAAGGTTTTCTTTAATCAATTGTATATCCTTTTGGTTGTTATAGAATTACATGTTGTTTGTAAGCCACTAAGTATCATTATGGATACATGCCCAGGTTAGCCATAATTGGATTAGCAAGATTAAACTTTCCTAAACTGTGATCTCTAAGTTAATAATTATTTCAAAGTTGACATTCTAAATCAATTTTTTTTCCTTTTGCAGGTGGATATTACTATCCCTTATTCATCGAAAAAGTTTTAATTAATTCTAAGTGTATTTTCTCATTGAGTTTTAACAAAATGGACAAAAATTAGTGTCCCAAACTTTTGAGATAGATTTGGCTCTAGTAAGTATTTAGACCTATTATTTGCATATCTAGGAGAAGAAATGAGACCATCATCATTTCCAGCCAAAATTGTTTTTTCTTACCTCTGTAAAAGGATTTCTTGCAATTTATGTTTTATTACTAATAACTTGAGCCCCTTTAATGAAGAACTAACTCACCAGAAATGTGAGAGTATATGTTCTTGCTTTGTTTGTTTATAAATATATCTCACAGATTTCTGATGTCTTTTTTTTTGAGCTATATACAATGAAGAAAATGTTGACAAAATAAACAAGTTTAAACTTTTTATGTTATAGTTACTGTGCATGGTGACAAGTGAGTTGCTTTTTTTTTTTGTCTTTATTATTACTGAAATTAAATTCAACATTTATAATTTTTATTTGGGTCTATTTCTTGATTACTAATACATGGAATTCATTCAGAGTGTTTATGAGTAAAATACTTAAATTAGCATATTAATGATTATAGGTCCCCATTAATTCTGTAGAACTTTGAATAATATGATATTTATTGTATTCTTGTGATTGAACTTTTGTGTTTTGAAGGAATATAAACTACCTGGAAAATGGTGTTATTGTTTCTATTTATCATATGCTGTAGGGTTAGATTTTAAGAAATTATGCTGAGAAAGAAGAACTTTTAAGCTACTTTTACACAGAATGTTACTCAGTATGATTAACATATTATTTAAAGGTATTTTTTTATATCTTTGTTTTATAATTTAACCACCTACCATGGGTTAGTCTATTAAAGAATCTTCAGGAAGTAGTAGAAATTCTGAATCACCCCAGAGTTTGCTTATTTCCACATTTCATCATTTTATAATCTTTGGGAATGCTTATAGCATTTCAGGTTTATAAGTTCTTATAGTGCCACTAAAACTTTTTTCTTTTTTTGGATTTAATACATATGATAGTAAGTTATAGTTTTTTTTAGGTTTCCCTGTCATCATTTAAAAATGCCATTTTAGTATGAAACAAGCAATGAAGAAGAAAGGTATTTGTTGTCCTGTAGTTTAAGGCAAGAAAGTTTAAGTACATCATTTCTTAAGAGAATTTTTAAATTTTAAAATAGTTAACGCAGATTTTTATATTAATTTGCTTATCTTTCATGGATATCTTTTGTGGCAGTGTGAAAATTCTGTGTTTGACAGGGAGCATTAAAAATAGATTTGAAACAGTTATATAGAGAGAGGTACAAATTAATTCTATTTAAATGCTGAGTATCCACACTGAACGAAACAAATTTCCACCCTCATAGAGCTTACAGTCTTGAGAATGAGACATAGGTAATAGAATAGACAAAAAAAATGGATAGGTACTATATGTGATATGTCAAATGGTGATAAGTTCTATGTAGAAAAATAATGCAAGGGAGGGGAAAGGATGAAGTAAAGGTGTTTAGAAGTCAGGAGAGAGATGTTTTTAAATATTATGGTCAGAAAATGCCTCACAGAGATGATATTTAGTAAGACAGAGATTTTTAAAATGATAAGGAGCAGACCATTAGGTATCTGAGAAAACAGCCTTTCAGGCAGATGAAATAATAACTACAAAGATTTTGAGGCTGAAGGATTTTTGCTGTGTACAAGGAACAGTAGGGAGGTTTGGGTGGCCATGATTAAATATACAAGAGGGATACTCATAGCTCATGGGATGGAAGAGTTTATAGGGGCTAGATTTTATGGCTGTTGAAGCTTTTAGCTTGCTCTACAGATTTAATTTTTCATACTTCTTTAAGAGAACCTTGACGATGGTATGGCCTTCAGCCTACTTGACCTTTGTAGGTAGAACAGTATTTACGAATCTGACTCAAGATTAGAACCTCCATCTGACACAATTTATAATATAAACAAAATGTTTAAATAGTTGGTTAATATGTACATGTGTGGTGATTTTTATAAATTGTATTTCATGGCTTTGAAGTTTTCCACTTGATCGGTTTAGCTTGTCAATGCTAATGGCTCCAAGAGACAGTGACCTTACTCATGTGTCATTTACCCAAACAATCACTGCCATCTTTGACTCCTCCCTTCTGGAATTGCTGCTATAATAATAATAAGTATAATAAATAATATAATAAGTATTTCATTATTTCTTACCCATTCTGTAACATCTTATCTGAGGAGTTCTTTGCCTGTAATTGCTTCATTCGTTATGGTATATATCCCACTAATTTAATCTTCCTAAAACACTACTTTTGCTTATTGGATAAAATTTAAACTCCTTAGTTTGCCTCATGATCTTGCCCTGGCTTTAAGTTTTTCCACTTTTCTTTAAGTGAACTAGTCTTGATCCATCCATTTTTTTTCTCTTTGCCTTTATTTATGCCATTTCTCCCACCACAACTCTCTCCCAACTAATTCTTTTGTTTGTTTTAAGATTTTATTTATTCATTTGACAGAGAGCTAGAGAGCACAAGCAAGGGGATCTGCAGGCAGAGGGAGAGGGAGAAGCAGGCTTCCTGCTGAGCAGGGAGCCCAGTGTAGGGCTTGATCCCAGGACCCCGGGATCATGACTCAAGCTGAAAGCAGACACCTAACGATTGAGCCACTCAGGCACCCCTCTCCCAACTAATTCTTATACATGCTTAAAAATGGGCCAGACCTCTTGTGTGTGGTAAACGTTTCCTTACTTTAACATTTGATATTATCCCTCCTTCTTGTGGTATGAACAATTTATATCTGTAGTTCTTAGCCTTTTTCTCTAATGTAACACACCCGAGGGACAACACTTCCTCATTAATTGTGCCTCATTTGTTAATACATATTAACCTTTTAAATGTATTAGCCATATGAATAAAAATTTAAAATTTTATAAACAGAATGAAGAAAAGCAAGTGGACTAAGATGTCCAGAACTTGAAAACATCAGCAAAAGTTCAGGTCCAAAGTTTAAATACTAATTTTATGCTGATCAGTGTTATAGTTGATTTTTTTTCCTGTTGTATGAAAAGCACCTCCCCTCCCTCCCTGCCTTCGGCCCCCTCTCTCTCCTTTCTATCCCCCCTTCCCTCTCTTTCTCACCTATAATTGAGTATGGACCAACCATATACATTTCTAGGATTTTAGCATATTTAAAAGAATAATAAATTCTCTATTTTAATTTTTTAATATTGTAAAAGCAGTTAATAAATATACTCCTTTAAGATGTAATCCATGTGTTTGTTATAGTGTTGTTTATGATATTAAAAATTTGAAAGAGTTTTTAAAGTGTCCAGTGATAAAAGGCTAATTAACATGCTGAGTGAAATATTATACAGCCATTTAAAATAATGTAATGAATATTTAATCAGCTAGAAAATTGTTCATGATTAAGTAAAGATATGTCAGATATTATAAACAGACTGCTCAAAAGAATACATTTGCTAAACTGTTAATACTGGTTTACTGCAGGTGTGAGACAAATTTTATTAGGGTTAAGGTGGGTTGGATCTTATTTTCATGATTACAAATAAGCATGTATGATTTTGTGACTCAGGGAAAGGGAAGTTTGTTTTCTGAAAAGGAATACAGAAATCCTTGAAAAATAAAAATTATTTGAAGCAGACTTACAACTGCATAATCAATCCCCTTTGGAAATCTGTGAATGGAAATCCTACTGGGTTCAGGAACTTTAGAAGTGACAATGAAGAATTAACTATCAGGGAAGAACAGAACAGGTAATTTCAAAAATCAGATAATTTTAAAATCAGCTGTAGGAGAGCAATCTATATTTTCTCAAAGGAGTGTTGAAAAGAATTCAAGAATTTGTTGAGTGGTTTTGCTGTCATTTCTCCACTCTCCAGCCCCCAAAACCTCAAAAGGTAAGTATAAAAAAGAAGTAGATGAATCTATTATAATTTTGAAACCATATTAATGAACTATATAAAGAAAAATCAGTTTATTTCATAGATATAAATATTTAACAGCAATTAAACTGACTTAGATCTAAAAATTAAGAATTTTCCTGTTTGGGGGCACCTGGCTTGCTTAGTCAGTAGAGCATGTGACTTGATCTTGGATTCATGAGTTCAAGCCCCACTTCAGGTGTAGAGCTTACTTTAAAAAAAAAAATTTTTTTTTTTTGTGGGGCGCCTGGGTGGCTCAGTGGGTTAAGGCCTCTGCCTTCGGCTCGGGTCGTGATCCCAGGGTCCTGGGATCGAGCCCCGAGTTGGGCTCTCTGCTCGGTGGGGAGCCTGCTTTCTCCTCTCTCTCTGCCTGCTTGTGATCTGTCTGTCAAGTGAATAAATAAAATCTTTAAAAAATAAAAATTGTATAATAAGAAAAAGGAAAAAAAGGAATTTTCCTATTTAAAAAGATTTGTCTTAATGTCTCCTAGCATGAAAGTAATACAGAAGCATAGAAACTTTGGAAAAGGCAAAAAATTCTATTTAAAAATCACATTTTTACCATCTAGTAGCAGCTACTATTATTAGCCTTATTCCCTTCTAGTTGCATAGTTGGATTAGCGAATTTTTATTTCTTAATCCAATTCGTAACTATGCCAGGGATAGCAATTTCCGTAATATTTTACTGTAAAAATGCTTAAAAATTTAGTAACTTTTTTCTCAATATTAGTAAACTTGAACATATGAGAAGGTACATCTTAATTGACCCTGTGGGTTCCTCTACCACACCTTCATGCCAGCCCCAAGGGTACCTTTCCGTAATGTGAAAGCATTCTGAGCAAGGGAAATCATTGAAGTTTTTTTAGCAGGAGAGTAAAAAATAACTACTGAAGTATGTGTAGTAATTCAAGATTTTCTCAAAGAGAAATCTAAGACTGGTATATTAAATTATGAGTTTGTTTCTTTTGTATTTCTACTGCCCTATCAAATTTATCAAAAAGCTGAGCTATTCTGAAATTGTGAAATTTTTATTTGATATTCAAAAAGCATTTATTATGGACATTTCAGTTCAAAACATGGCTAAATGTAAATACGACACAAATTATGAATTCATAGTGTATGACCTTTCTGTTACTTTGACCCAGTTAAAATGTAAGCAAAAATGTTATGTCTCAACTTGTTTTTCTCACATGCAAATATTTTAGAACTTAACTAAAACTCTTAAGTACAGTAGTAATTTAGAAAGGTTTAGAACCTGAAAACAACTTGGCTAATAGAATAAAGAAAAAAAAATTTTTTTTTAAATCTAAAAATCTTCATATGTGGGAGGGGTTTTTGTCAGCAAAACAGGCTTATGGTACAGATTTCAAGTCAGATTCCCTGTTGTGCCACTTTTGTCAGCATTAGTAGTTTATTGTATCCTTTGGAAGAATAGGAAAAATGCCTAAAAGTAAAGCCATTATTTATTATGGTCCATAATAAATAAGCTACTGTACCATTCTTTTAAATTAGTGATTCTTAGATACATTTACCTCTAAAACTCAAGGAATTGGGACCTTTAAAATGTAATGACTTACTCATTTTAGAAAGTGCTACACAGTTATGCTCTTCAGGAAACATTTATGGTGGT